CGGGGTGGCGCGTGAAAGCCCTGGCCGCGACAGGAAGGGACCGCCTCGAGAATCCCCAAGTTGCAGCCCGGGCGGGAGCGGGCGGGGGAGCGTGGCGTGGGGACTGCCGGCCGCGGGTTATAGATGTCATCACCCGTGGGCCCGGAGCGGCCGCCGGGGGTGTGGTAATTGGAGGAGTGACAGAACGCTGTCTGCACCCAACGCGGGGCCAGGGAAACTGCGAAGTGTTAGGTTAAGCCCGACGTGAGAGGCAGAAACACGGATGCGTGGAGCCGGGGAAGTCTTCAGGGAGGAGTGTTTGAGGGTTGAATGAAGTGCTTCCCGGTCCACCTTTAAATGAAAGGTTTCAAAATAATCGATTTTTAAGGGTTAGACTTGGAACAAACAACGTGGGAAGTGTTCTTTAAAACGTGCCATTAAATAATATTATAACATTTCTACCTCCTTTTTTAAAAAAAAAAACAAAACAGTTCCTTCAGAACTTCCGTTGGCTAAAGAGAGTAGGTGATTTCTTCTTAGTTCAAGGTTCTTTTAAGATCGATTTTTGCTATAGGGCGCATGCACTCGCGAGAGAGAGAGAGAGAGAGAGAGAGAGAGAGAGATCATCCCGGGGGCACGCCACAATCTCTTCTCTTGGGATTTTGTAATTTTAAGTCTGAACCCTGGTCGACTACGTGGGAGTCCAGACATGTAACCATTAAGCCATCTGCTGGTCCCTCGAGGCTCATTCTTAACGTTGTTTTTCCTTAACTTTTTCTTGCATTTGTTAATATTTCAAAAGTAATCCACAAGTTATCCCTGTCATTCTAAACATAGAAGAGAGGACATTTAATTTTGCAAAGGAAAGTGAGAATGAGCGCTAGTGTGTTTACCAAAATAATTTTTTCTTGCAAAGTGCTGTTTCATGTGTCTATGTGATTTTTTTAAAAAAAAATTATTATTTTATTTATTACTATTTGACCAGAGACAGAAAGTGAGAAAGTAAACTGCCAGGTCTGGGACTCCAACCTCTGTCCCCCATGTGGGAGTCCAGCACTTTAACCACTGAGCCACGGGCTGACCCAGTTTTTTTTTTTTTTTTTAAGATGGAAGGGGACGTGAGAGAAAGTGAAGACATGAACATTTATTGAACTCCTTTTGGAGTGTTATGCTGAGTACCCATATTAAAACATTAAATCCTTACAGGAGCTCTGAAGTAGACATTAATTTTTACTATTTTACAGATAAAAGCATTACAGGTTAGAGAAGTTAAGTGATTTACCTAAGGCTTTCCAGCACTTTTTAGAACCAAAGTTAGAACTGAAAATCACTGCCATTTTAGGAATTTCTTCTGGGACTGGCAGGTGGTGTGGATAGTTAAGGGTGCTGGACTCCCATGTGACCAACTGCGGTTTGAGTCCTGGATGTGGCTGGTTGCTTTCTCACTTTACCCCTCTCTTTCTCTCACTCTGTCCTTCTCTAGTCAAATTTAAATAAAGTTAAATAAAATAATTCTAAAAAAAAAGATTTCTTTCTTTTTACACTTCTTCGTTGTATTTTCTTTAATTCATTAATCCAGGAAGTACTTAGGGAATGATAATGTGCCTGATACTTATTGGAGATATAGCCGTGATTAAGACACACTGTCCCTATCCTTGTAAGTGTAGCAAGAAAGACTACCAAATAATACAAATATTGACTGCATTTCATTTTGTCTGTCATTTTAATTGGGGCACAAACGGTAAAGCACTCTACTAAATAGAAAATACAGTGTATGGAAAAGTAGACAACGTAAGCCCTGAACAATTTACAGTCCTGAAAGGAGCGGGGCATTTTAAATACCTAGACTAAATTAAATGAAAGAAGTAGGTACAGTATTCTTGCATTATGTTCCTTCATGATGAGATTCATGGAACTTTGTTCAAAGAACTGTGATTTGTTGTTAGGCATCTTAGGTTATATCTAGAATTGATATATACTAAAAGAGATCATGAAAAAAATTCCCTTTATTTTTTATTTTATTTTATTATTTTTTTTGGAGAGGTTTTTGCTATAGGGCATGTCTCTGGCCAGGAAGACAGAGAGCAACAGAGAGACAGAAAGCGAGAAATCACCCCCTAGGGGGGACGGCCTTGCCTCAATCCCCTTTCCTCCATTCTCCTCTCGGGATCTTGGACACGCGCACGCACACACGCACACCCAGTGTGAGTTTAAGCCACCGGGTTTAGGACTCATACCGCAGTCGGCTACATGGGAGTCCAGCGAAATAGCCATTATGTTAACTGCTGGTCCCAAAACTTCCCTTTATTTAAGACACTGTTTTGGATCCAGCAGATCTCATGTAGTTGACTGTGATTCGAGTTCCATACCTGGTGGCTTAAACTCATGCCGTATGTGTGTGTGCGTGCGTGCCCAAGATCCCGAGAGGAGAATGGAAGAGAAGGGATTGTGGCGTGGCCATCGCCCCGTGGGGGTGTGATTTCTTGCTTTCTGGCGAGTGCACGTGCCCTATAGCACCTGCCCTATATCCCAAAAAAAGATACTTTCTAATTTAGTTACTGATCATTATTATAAAATATAGATATTAGAAGAGGTAAATCTTTTTTCAGGAATTATTTAATTTTATTTATCATTATTATTTTTAATTTGCTATTGTGTATGTGCGCTCCCCCGAGAGAAAGTGAGAAAGCCTGCCTCCAGGTCTAGGATGCCAAACGTCTTCCTCCAGTGTCCAGCACCTCAACCACTGCACCACCTGCTGGCCTCCATTAGAGACTAATTCTTAAGAACTCAGTACTAGGCTTTTTTTTTCTTTCTTTGCATTTTTTTTTTAAATAAGTGACAATTTTTTATTAGGTCATTTTTATTTTGTCAGCCATCCTGTTTTTCTCTTTACACTTTGTCAGAAGGCTCTGAGCTGTATTCAAGTTTTGTAATTTTCCTTAGTCTCACTCATGTTATGAATTATTTTATTCCAGATAGCCTGGAATTGCTCTCATTTGTTTTCTGAGCTGTTTTCTTTGTTGTCTGTTCTTGATTATTTTGTCCTTTATCCCTTCCCTCACATATATATATATCCCATTCTTTTAATTTCTAGTGTTTTAGCATAGTATTTTTTAAATTGATGGTAAAATAGTCTTAATGATTTATGATGTCTGTGCTTTTAAATCTATCAGATTGTTTTTAGAAATATGTATGATTTCGGGACCAGCAGTTGACATAATGGCTATGTTGCTGAACTCCTGTGTAGTTGACCATGGTTTGAGTCCCGGACCCGGTGGCTTAAACTCATGCCGGGCATGTGTGTGTGCATGCCCAAGATCCCAAGAGGAGAATGGAGGAGAAGGGATTGCAGTGTGGCCATCCTCCCTGGGGGGTGATTTCTCGCTTTCTATTTCTCTGTTTCTTTCTTTCTGGCGAGTGCACGCGCCCTATAGCAAAAACCTCTCAAAAAAACATAAATGAAAGATAAAAAGAACTGTGTGTAATTACTGTGTGTAAAATCAATCAATACCTTTGGCCGTGCAAGTTAAGATGACTGATCTATTGATAAAGATAATCCTCTCTTACTCTCTATTTTGTTTTAAGATACTTTGTACTTTGCAAGGTATTATAAATGTACTCATAATAATGGAAGAAAACATCGGAAATGGTAAACAATTCAATTAGCTGATTTGGGCTTATTTCTTCTTGCCGCAGTAAGCAGGAGGTGGCTGCAGGCCAACTGGGGGCCAGCTAGGGCCTGCATTAGAGCATTTTGAGGTTGTGCATTCAAAGAGCAGAGATGAAGACTGATGGAATGTACAGGGCTTTTGTTGTGGTTCATTTTAAAAGATGTTACAACCCTACACAACAGAACTAAGTAAACAAATGGTTCTGTACTAGTGTTGCAGACTAATTGGGACAGTTCTTGAGAGCAGGCATTAATTCAGAATGTGGATAATGGTGATAATCTCCTTCATATAACAAGAATAATGCTGCCCTTCATATACAAAGATAAATCTGCTTACTCATCATGATTGATTTTCCAGCATGAGGAAGGATATGTGCTGAGTTTGAGTTGTCCATGAGTCCATACTCTGACCAGCAAGGGAGCTCTTAAGGTCAGAATGGGAGTTTTTAGTTAAGGTAAGGGAAAGCCCCTCAGAAAGTGCCAACATCTGCTGATGGGTCAAGCTCTACATCAGGTGCTTTCACTTAATTATCCTTGTAAAAACCACTCGGAGGAGGTAGTTACATGTACAGGGTGATTAGGTAACTTGCCCTATTTCATGGAGTAAGTGGTTGAGCCGGGATTCATACTGTACTAAGTTCACTTTAATCATTAAAGTTTGGTTTTATTACCAGTTTGTTCTCTTTGGCAGAATAAACTAGATCTGATTTGGTTTGTTAAACACCATGAGAGGATACATGAAAATCTGACTTACTAATAGCTGAAAGAGTATACAAGTTCCTTCTTTTATTGCCATTAAGAAAGTACTTTTTTTTTGTTTGTTTTTAAAGAGTTTTTGCCTTAGGGTGCCTGGCTAGAGAGAGACAGAAACAGTAAGAAGGAAAATGAGAAATCAGCCCCCAGGGGGAACAGACACACCACTATCTCCACTCATTCTCCACC